GGGGTGGGCAAACAGGTTTAGTGCAAGGTGGAGAAGAAAGGTGTGGAGGTGGCGGCATGGTAGGGTGGTAATTGTTGGTTATGAGATTGTGTGTGACACTGGAATTATTCCCAAAAGCTCTAGGAGTCTGTATGAAAGGGTCCACGTATCCGAATTCTGGAAACACAGGAGCTCAGGAAACCTGTTACTGATGTCGGGCATTGAGGTTTGTAGAGGAGAGGCTGGTGTCTGGGCGTGTAGGTGGTTAAAGGAGGAGAGATCAGGGCGATAGATGTTGGATAAGAAAGAAGGAAAAGATATCAGGACAATACATGTTTGATGGGAAAGATTTAGGAGAGATCAGGACAATAGAAGTGTAATAGGAAAGAATGAAGAAAGCTCAGGGCGATAGAAGTTGGACAAGATAGAAGGTTTGTTCCAATTTGGCGGAATGAAGTGACCGACTCAAGACCATGTACACAGTGTATATAAGAACTCCATTTTATTAAAACGATTGTTTCACATACATTGCGAAAAATAGCTGTCAGAGAAATACTACATAATGAGAACCAAAGAGTGTAGATAGGATTACTCTCTGGCCATGGCAGTGAAGCATTATGGCTTAAAAACGACATAGAGGGTTGATCACAGCGGCGGTCTCAGCAGCAGAGATGATCCTGCCCACTTCGTTGTGGTTGCAAAGATTGACCAGAGCGTAAAACTTCCTGAGGGCGAAGTCGTTCTTGGTGACGTCAAGGCCTGGACAGAATCCGAGGAGAGTGTCCACCACAGAGTAGTAGCAGTCAAAGCTCTTGATGTCTTCGTGGGTCTTCATGACGCGGTCGTAGGCGGTCTTCTCTGGGACCTCGCTATGAAAGGAGAAAACATTCACTCATTCAGCGCCACAGGAGAGAAATCTTGTACGTCTAGTTTCCGTCATTGTTCGTTTGATCAGTATTCTCACAAAACCCATACCGTCTCTCTTTACGAAACTGGACGTTCGGTAAAAGGATAGCTCTGTCTTTATCTATATACACATGAGTAAAGGGAAAGCACTCTAAATATATTCATGTTCTTTTATAGCGTCATTTTGAGGTATATTCTGGGGGAAAGGGGGTATTTGTTTTTATTGTGTATGTCTCAGATTATTGAAGTTTGACTTTTCAAACGGACCTAGTATAGTGGAGGAGAACTAACGATCGCAGTCCAATAAAGATTTTCCTACCTGGATTTTGATTAAAAGTGTGTTTAAATATCTAGTTCATCAAGTGATTGTGCTGATCATGACTTTGATAATGATTGAAGTAGTGAGAGAACTATAGGCTCATTGCTGAATCTAGATTTGAAAATCACAGATATTGTAAACTTCACATACACATTGGCATAAAAGTTTACATAAGATGATGCATTCAAATGTGGATAAGCAGCAGAACAAATTGTGATGATGGATGTAGTGACCACTAAAAGGGAGGGGGGGGGGATGGCTTTGCTAAATGTGTTACTTTCTGCACCACGGGAACTACTTCGAACCCCCTTCCGTGTACTTGTAGTTTCCCGTGCCAAAAGTTATTTCACTCTTACCTGTACACAGTTCTCACAATATCCCAGATGAGGTCGTGGGTCTGGGTCATTGTCGTCTGCAGCTTGACCAGTTCTCCCTCAAGACGAGACTTGAGCTGAGAGTTTGCAGGGGCTGCCTGGATGCGGTTCTTCAGTGTCTGGAGACTGACCATCTCACTGGGCACCTGGTCCACGGCGCGGGTAGGCTTAGTAGAGTTGCTGATCAGCTGAGGGAGGAAAAAAACTTATTACGATTTTTGTTTTTTTCACTGTTTGCTGTTTGTTTGTTTACTTGATTGCTTGTTTGTTTATTTGTTTTTATGCTGACATATCGAAGAATCACTTTTTACCATCATGAACTGTGGTACGGATAATCGTGGCTCAAAACCTGAATGAGGCTAATAAAGAAAATACATCATTATGTAAGTGGTTCACTCCCCTATATCGGCAGAGTTGAGATTATTAAAGAATCAAACTTCGACCCTGGCTGGCAGGGCGTGCCGGGGATGAGAGGACTACAACATCCCAGCAGAAAGACCGACATGCTTGAGAAAGATTCTCCCATTCGGGAATCGAACTCGTGTCCTAGCTTGTGTGAATGCAGAGCTCGTAACAGGTACAGCACAGATGCCTGTACCGATAACGAAGTCTTGACTTGGGTTGTTAGCGTCCCCCGGGGGCGAACATTATTTAATCTGTTACTCGGTGAATACACCTCTCTCTCTCTCTCTCT